ACAGGATAACCTAATACCTTAAGCAGGTAACTATAAGATTTAAACTCCTCTAAAGTAACACTATAGTTAGTAATGCGCCCTAAATTAATCTAGGTTACAGTGTTAGAAGTGGAGGAGGCGTCTAAGTTACTAAAGGGCGCTAGCCTCTTTGCTAACCTGCACATGTAGACACTATAGGACAAAGTAGTATTAGAAGATAAGATATACTAAGTGCGTCTTAATGCAGTTTAGAAAGGCGCTAGGTCTTTCCTAGTTCTAGCTAACACAAAGCAATAGATTAGGGACTATGCAATTAGCGTATATAGTACTTTGCTTTAGAGGGGCGTTATTTAGTTACTAATATAGGAACCCCTTATAACTACTATTATATAGTAAGTATATAAATTAGGTTTAGTAGGATATCTAGGAAAGAATATAATATTTTAAATACTACACTGTAACTATTATTAGGATAGAATATTAGGAGATGTTATATAGTATATCTAGAACTACTATTATTATAGTGCTTATATCTCCTAGAAACGCTAATAAGGTCTGTTATAACCTATACTAGTTGCGTTATAATACTAGTCCTAAATATCTATAGACTTTATAGTTAACCTACCTATAAAAGATAATAGTAAACCTTAGTTCCTATTAGTTATTACTAATAGATTATCTAAATACGTTTAGCTTAAAGCAATAGTCTCTATAGTAGCTAATTATTGTGCAAGGATCTTCTAGACAGACTAGTGGCAGTTCTAGGGCTTCCTATCCTCTATTATTACTAACTAAGGCTCTAACTAGTTAGGATCTTTCTAGATAATGTTGTGCTAGATAATAAAGATAAACTAGTTACTATCTACTACATACCACCCTTAGATAGACAGCGGGACAGAGTAGGTAAACTAAGAAGTGTAGGTAGTGCTGCGCATAATAGTATGCTTTAAGCAGACTAACTAGCCTAACTACCTGCTAGCCTGCTAACTTGTACTTAATAATAGGGACTCTAGTATAACTAGTGTTAGCCTAAATCTTCTTTTAAATAGGTATACTATAGACACTCTATAAAAGCAAATATTACTACTAGTAAAGCCTAAGAATCCTTATAGAGAGGCTATAGCGTTCTTATCACACCTATAGAGGGGTGTAGAGCTAGCGCAAGCTACTATTGCGTTCTAATAGCAATAATAATAGGAAGTAATAAACTAGTCCTAATAGCTAGCTAAAAAGTTCCTAAAAGGTAATATAGTTTAGTTTATAATATATAATATAAAGATAAACTAACTAAGTAAAAAGTTTAACTAGCTATAGGTAAAGTATAAAGTAATAGAAGTCCCTACTCTACTTATAGTAGTATTAGACTTACTAGGGAACTTATATAAGACTATGCATGTAAATCTGCTAGAGAGAGCTACTAATAATCTACTACTAAGCTAGAAGCTTTAGGACTTATAACTAGGCCCTATAGTTACTCTAGAAAATAAAGACGTAATACTAGATAAATAGGAAGTAGAAGAGATCCTTTGTACAAAGAATATAAAAGGAAAAGGGAAGTGTTAAGTCCTAGTAAAATAGAAGGGGTATGTTAATCTAACATAGCACCTGCTAGAGGTAGTGCAGGATACTAAGGCTCTAGATAGGTTTAAGGAATAGTATAGGGATATTACGCACAATAACGGCCTAATACGTATAAAAGCTAGGAAGTAAGTATAGAAGAAAACTAGAATAATAACTTAGACCTTTGTTATAATTAAGAAGTAGAAAGGTATTAGAGATATCTTTTATTTATCCTAATAACACTCTAAGCGAGTGCCCTACTATCAAAGTTCTATAAGGCGGCTAACAATTAGACAGCAGACTAAAGGGGAAACGCTAAAGCACTAGTAGTAGACAGAACAACAGCACCAAGCTAATACTAATTATAGGCGCGCAAGTAGGTAGTAGGGGCGAGCGGAGCAACAGCATTATTAGTTTAAGCCCTTAATATAAGATCCTTAAAATAATAGTAGAGCTAGTAGAACTATAGTATAAACTAGTAGTAAGTGCCTTTAGTAGGTTTTCCTATAAAGGTTCTAAGGGTCCCTTTCTTCGCAATATAGAGGCGATCCTCCTAGTAACTATAATAAAACTAAAGCTAGTTATAGAGGGCTTAGTAGATATTAGGATTGTTAGCAAGTATAGCCTCTAACCTAGTATAGGTCTTGTGACTGTAATAATAAGACTTGCACAAATACCCTAGATATAGTTAGAACTTGCTATAAAGAAAATAAAAATTAAGGGGAACTTACTACTACCCTCCTAATAGTTACACTTACTAAAAAAGATCAAAGCTAAGTTAATATACTAATTATAAGGAAAGTTGGCTTTATAAAGCTACTATTATATTCCTTATTATCTAAGTTACTAGAAATAATAAAGCTACTAAGTAACTAGGTTTAGGGAGATATGTGCTAAACAAAAAGTTAGTGCAGGAAATATAGGGAGAATATTAGAAGTACGCACCTTATCTTAGTAGGCCTAGCGCGGGGTCTAACTACCTTATAGTAGATCCCTACTACTAGTACTAGCAGCAGCAGATAAGGATATAATAGGGGCTAGATAGGCAGGATTAATAGAAAAAGAGTAGAGAGAGGGCCAATTAGTAGGGGAAATCTGTTGTATAACAAAGTAAGTTTAGGAAATTTATAGTAGGGTAGGATAGCTATATTAGAACTTTTATAGTAGGGTGCTAAAATAAGCGTATAGATGCCACGCGCGTGTACCACTTAATATATAGGCCTATTACAAATTAGGAAGAAATACAAAGATATAATAATAAAACTAAAAAATATAGTAATAAAGCCTAATATAGATTATAGAGGACAAAGATATAACCCTAGACCCCTAGAAAGACGATTTTACAATAGTTTATAGGGGAAGGTTAGGGGTATGTAAAGGGCTTAGGCTTATGCCTAAGCCTAGGTCTAACACAAGATAGACTAAGTCTAACACTACTACTAAGCAAACACACTAGACACCTATAAAAAGGCGTAGAGGGCTTATCTCTCCTTTAAGATACTAAATACTATTATCAACGCTTATTGCATTCTCCCTTAAGGCCAGTCCATAACAAGTAGTAAGTAGACCTAATCTAGTATATACTATTAGACTTCTTAGTTTATATAACACTAACCTATTAGATAACTACCTTAAGTTAGTATTTTAAGTACTCTAGTATATCTGCGCTATATCTATATATTAGTTAATAATTAGAATATTACCTAGTAGGTAACGTCCTATAGTTATAATATATTTAGATACTTTATACGTATTAGACCTAGATAATTTAAAGTTATTCTCTAGGTATATCCTTAAGATTAATAGCTTAATTATCTCCTAGTCTTCTAAGAGGTAGAGCTACGTGGTATAAAGTATATATAAAGCTAAATATATAGCTTTCTTATATGCTACCTCCTATTTAGTCTAGGCTTGCCACGCTATTATAGAATTAATACTTATAAGGCTAATATATTAACTCCTTATAAATAATAAACCTATTATCTTACTTATTTAAGACTAAAAGCTTAATTTATAGTTAAAATATATTTACGTATATTACTACTTTATCTAGGAATAATTTTTAGCTAGTAATTATAGCATCTAATATATTATATTAGTAGAGAACCTAGCTAATATATATATAAAAGCTCTGCCACGCCTAATATTAGAGAAACTTAATTAGCTTATCTTAGAGCTTACTATCTAATATAGACGTTTTCTTTGTATATTTATAATTACTATAGATTTAGGGGACTATTATTTCTATATCTATAGTGCTTACCTTGTATTAGCTATAGTGCTTA